GAGGACTGGACTCCTGGCCGTCAAGCGCTGCCATCACACCATTGTCTTGACGTCCCTATCGTTTGTCAAACGGATCCAACACTTGGACTGTATTTTGCGGACAATCCATATGTCGGGAACCATTAGGGGATGTCTTAAAGCGCTTCGCATTCATCACAACAAAGAGATCATTAAATGTCGCCAACAATTGGATTCGCAATCGTGTCGTCAAAAGATGACATCACTTTCTAAGGCATACAAAGACATCGAGTCTTCACTTATTGGACAAAACCATTGAAACAAATACTGAAACATAACTTCATTTTATTGTCATTTGTATTAAATCTCATGTTTTTTATTATATTTTTAAATATAAATCTTAAGATTTAATTAATTGTGAAATTATTTGTTCAATCAAACTGTTAATTGTATTTTGTTTTTGATTCAAATAATTGCTAACAAATGCATGAATTGTATTGTTTTTATGAAATAAATAATATTTATTTATTATTAAATAATAATTAAATCATTTTTGACATATTATGTCAATGAGAGTGAATGTGATCACAAAAATTGCGGTAAAAATATTTGAAATATTTTGCGCCAATTTTTTTGCGCTAAAACACAATATAAGGTAAAACTTATGCTCTTTTGTTAGAAATACGTGCAATAAGTTTTTATTAACTTTGGCCGCAAAACATGTGCTGTAAATCAAGTCTCATTTCCCGTAATTGTGTTAATTGTGACAATTGTTGACCAAATACTGTGACAAACATTGATTGTATATATACTGTCGATATATAGGATTATTTCTGCTAACAATGCAAAGGTATAAAAGTCGGGGTAAATGTTTGTCGCAATTAATGAGAAAATCATTGTAAATAAAAAGTAAATCAAGCGTTAAATCTGTTAATCGTTTGCAATATCCCAACGCTTCCAAAGAGTTGTGATCGACGGCCGCAAAGAGTTTTAAATGCAATCGTTTTAATCGGGAATAAAATCTCAACGAATCCAATGACTTGTCATTCATATCCTTAGACCTCGAGTTCAATACGAGTGTCAATTGTTTCAATTGTTTGCCATTCATATCAATTGTACTCAAAGAGTGACTCCCATAGTGCTCTAAATTGAGTGTCAATTTCCCGTAATTGTGTTAATCGTGACAATTGTTGACCAAATACTGTGATTATCTGTTGACTCACAACTAAACTCATTGACTTATAAGTGACTCATTAAATGCCATAAACCGGATCAACATTTGGTGATCCCTCTCTAGAAAGTGTCAATTCTTTGAGAGCTGGTCTGCAGTTCCCCGTCGGACGTATCCATCGTCTCCTTTGCAAAGGTATGTCTCACACATTGTCTGTCATCTGATCCCAAACTAAACACTTATGTCTTGATCGATAGGCAACTTTGCTGAGCGCGTGTGTGCGGGCGCTCCCGTGTATTTGGCCGCAGTGTTGGAGTACTTGGCGGCTGAGGTGCTCGAGTTAGCCACCAGTGCCATCAGCAATAACAAGAAGACCCGTATTATTCCCCGACACTTACAACTAGCCATTCGTAACAACAAGGAGTTGTATGTCAGACATGGCTGACAGACCACCGGTATTTAAATAATTTATTAATAAATGATAAAAATTAATTAAATATATAAATCTAAAATTCAACGTTTGCCCCAAAACTCTGCGCAAATTTTTTGTTAATTTTTTGTGATTGATTTTTAACCACAATTCATATACTGTATGTGATTAAAATTTTATTATAACTTTATGTAACGTTTCTTTAAACAATTGCTCAATCAGTATAAAATAATTTAAATATTTTTATTTGTTGTTACATATATAGGTATTAGTATTTCTATTAATTAAATTAATTTTTGCATGATAGTTTAATCGCAGACAAAGTTATCATTTTAGATTTTTAATCATAGCTTTCAATAATTTTTATTGTCAAATAATAACACAAGAATGTAAGAATACTTTGACTAATAGAATTATAAGTTATAATTTATAACGATTAAAAATATTCAATTAAAACTAGTAGATGTAAAAGAGATATCTTTATAACACAAATTCAGTATACATTTAAAATATAATGTAATTTACAAATTACTAAAAAGTTTTAAAATTTATGTGTCGTTACTTACTCTGGAATTTTTTTGAATACATTATAAGCTGTATTATTAATGAATAAACGATATATCTATAGATTATAAGTTGAGTTTTAGCTAAGAATTAGGAACTTTTTACTCGATTACTGATATTCTGGTTGTTTCCCAAATTTTTATATCAATTTCTGTAAAAAATCATTTCATTATTTGAGTCAAATTAAATTCTATTGGCTGAGAGGCGGAGCTTAAGTCAACCGTTAATAAACATTGAGTTTATTATAAGAATTACTTGAATCAATAAATCTAATGAATGATAACTATTATACAAAATGACTTTATTTGCAATAATTGTGGTAATTATTATTAATTATTGAATTTTGAAACATTTGTTGTGTGTGAGTAATACCCCAATTGTGGTTAACGTATAGCATCTCTGTGTGTGAGTAATACCCCAATTGTGGTTAACGTATAGCATCTCTGTGTGTGAGTAATACCCCAATTGTGGTTAACGTATAGCATCGCTCTGTGTAACAAATGTTAATTGAATAATGTGTATTTTGTATATAAATTAGTTTCGAAAAGAAGCACTCGTAGAAGCCCTTAACTATTGGAATAGTGTGTGCTTAGATAGCGAAGGAAGAGTTGTATTGAGCGCGAATGGAACACCATTCTCTAAGAGATCAGTTGCGATTCTTTTTAATGTACCGTATAGCAGTTTTTTAAATGTTGTGAGCGGCCGAACACCAATCGATCGTATCGGTAAAGTCGGCAAACCCGAATACTTTAGTGCTGACGAAAAGCAAACTTTAATTGCTTTGATCAAAATTAGAGCGAGAATGGGATTTGGCCTAAATTCTGCCGAAGTGATTAGGTAAATTAATATTTTAAACATTGAGTTTTGGTAATTACAATATGATATAATTACTGTAGTCTTATGGACGAATATGTGAAAAAATATCGCAAAGAAATCACATCATTTAATGCGAAAGATTACACATTTGAATTTGTTAAGAAACACAAAAAGGATCTAAGTTATCGTAAACCTTCAAAGCGAGACTATACGCATACAAAAGCCTCAAAGTTCTTGGTTTGCAAAGATTTTGTTGAAGTGATAGTTAAGGGTATTCATATATATAAATTTTAAATGATTAAATAAACCAACCATGTTATTTGTTCATAAGACGCTTTAGACGAGTGCAGAAGCTATACAACACTTGATGAGGAGACATTCATGTCAACCGTTGCTCCTTTCATTATGCATAATATGGACGAAACAAATATGATCCCAATCACATCCGGTCGCATAATAGCGGAAAAGGGAAGGGTTGTTTCGATTTTCGCACAAACAAATAAGTATTCACTGAATACATTGGCATTTTGTGGAAGCGCAAATGGTGACGTCTTAAGCCCATACATAATCTTTCGCACTCATGAGCTGAAAGACGAATGGACAAACTGGTCCACAGCCAAATTTGCGGTTTGTTTATACATAAATACTAAAAATGTTAAATGATTTAAGTTAACTATTATGAATAGGCTTCTAACTCCGGTTTTATGAATAATCAACTGTTTCGTGATTGGTTGACTGAAATATTTGTGCCCGAATCGGAGAAATTGAAGCCCGAAGGGTACTCAGGTCCGACAATACTTATACTAGATGGGCATAGCACCCATCAAAATCTTGAAAGTATTGAAATCGCAATGAATTGTAATATTATATTACTGAGACTTCCATCGAATATAACACACATTATGCAGCCATGTGATGTTTCTGTCTTCGCTCCTTTGAAGAAGGTTTGGTCAACAATTGTTAATCAACACCGCATTCCTGGTCCGCTGACAGGCAATGCTAAACTAACAGATATGTTGAGACAATTATGGGAAACAACGGCTCCTATTATTCCCTCGTTTCTAAAAAAAGGCTTTAGAGAGACAGGAATTTATCCTCTTGATTCTAATGCAATCAATCCTGTCTTATTCGAGGCATCAAATTTATATCCATTTAAAGACCAGTCTTGGAAGGAAATGTGCCCTTCTTTGAAACAATTTGAACCAATTGATTCATCAGGCCTACCGCCCGGTTCATTAGCGAACTTCTTTATTGATAAAATTAATGAGGCTTTCGCGCCATCTTCATCTCAAACCATTATTGAAGCAATTCCAAGTAATTATATTAATATCATATTTAACTATATTGTTTAACTATTTAATAATCTTAATCTAAAAGCTGATAACGAACGTAGAAGACGTGGAGGTATTTTTGGCGAAAATCTAACTAAGCGTGTGCTTAAGGACTCTACAAATATTAGTGATCAAACTAATAAACAGCCAAAATATTCTCTGAAGGAATTTAGACTTCGTTGTGGAAAACCCGAATGTAACACTGAAGATTCTGGTGTTTGGATTTTGTGCTCGAATCCAAAGTGCCATCAGTGGTATCACATTGCATGCCATCCTGGTGATCAGACCGTTTTGAAAGAAATGAGTGAACAACCGGTATTGATGTAATTAAATATATAATATCAAAATATTAATTAATTTTATAATAGATTGATAAACAAGACTGGAAGTGTGTTTTTTGTGTCTAAACATGTTTTACTCATTTGTGTAAGTAAAAATTAATAAAATTGTAAGCGCACGCACGGGTTTAATTGTTGAACAAACATTATTAAATAGCAATTACAGTATGTATCGCTCCGCCTCCCCAACGGGTTTAACGTTAATTTATAGTTATATTATGTTTGGTTAGATTAGGTAAGGGCATAAATTGTGAATTTGATTGTGGGCACGGGATTGGGTTCTGTAAACTAATCGAGGGTTAAATAAATTTTTTTAATTATGTTAACTTTCATTAAATTTTAGACTTTTGTTGAAAATATTGAATGGCTTGTTATCCGGCTTAAGGCCAAATTTGACCCCTTTTTGATCCTCGAGTGGTGGCGAGAGGACCGCCAAAAAGTGATTGATTTGACCCAACAGTTGGCCAAATCAACACAACAAGTGGAGGATTTGGACCAACAAGTGGAGGAATTGAAACAACAAGTGGATCAACAAAAACAACAAATTAAAGCTCTAGTCGCCGCCATTTCAGCCATTCCTCAACAATAAGCCATCAATACATTAATCATTGAATCTTAATTGTAGTCAAATCTAGTCGTTAATTGAAACTCATTACAAATTACATTTACCTCTTAATTATAGTCACTATCATATATTGTGTACAGTATTATAATTTGGTTGATTAATTGCCATTCAATAGTGCATTACATTTCATTACCATCTCTTTAACATTCAATCATTTTCTTTCTCTTATGTATCACTCATTTATAATCAGATCTCTCTTTTGCTCTCTATCTTTGATTGACTCTCAAGTATTGTATAATTCGCATCATTTAAGACCACTCTTTGGATCAATTGAATGTCTTTTTTGATCTTATTTTTAAGACTCATTATTATGTGTTTTTAATTGTTTTTTGTCTCCTGTTTTTAGTTAATGACTTGAAATGAATGGCATTTTTAATGTTTTCAATTCTCATAAGCGATTGTATACTTAAACACATATTTCATTGTATTTTTAAAACATTTTAAATTTCATTAGTTATTTAATTTCGACAAACGTTTCTCTCTTTGAAATTGTATTTGAAATTCACAGATATTTTTTGTGTCACAAAAATTGTTTAGACTTTTAATTATATTTTTATAATTAATATATAATTATTGATTATTTTAAACATTTGTGTTGTATTTTGCGTTCATTTGTCGGCTTAATGCTGACCATCAAATCTCACGTGTCTTTGATTTGTTTTTTATTGATTATGTCTTTTATTTCAAGTCTTTGCTGCCATTTAAATAATTAACTTTAATTTTGTTCAAAACATATGATTAATTAAAAGATTATATGATTGCGTTTTACCGCCAAATCTATTAATATTTGAGATTTTGATTTTTGTGATACAAATCAATTAAATGCTCTTTTTTTTTGAATATTTTGAAATAATTAACCCTTATATGTGTTTTACGCAAACAAATCACTAAACAATTTATATTTGATTCATTGAAACGTTAATTATAATCCAAATCTAATCAGACTTATAGTCTCAAACGACATGATTGTGTGATATATTTAAATCAATAAAAAAAGTTGTATTTTCTTAAATAATGTTTTGTTATTAGTTGTCAAACAATTTTAATAAATAATTGTATTTTTAAAATAAATAAAATTTTATGTAAATTACAATATTTGTGTTATAAAAGTGCAAAAAGACTAATAAAATTTTAAATGTAACGATTAATTACATCAATGATTATAACTTAAATTACAATTTGTTTTATTTATGTTTTAATTGAATGATAACGTAAGAGAAGAAAAGGAAAGAAAAATAACCGACATTTGCGGGACAATTGATTGAATAGTAAATGTATAATACAATTAAATTCGACAATTTGTTGATATAAAGCAAATTAAGAGGTAATCAATGAATGAAAATAGTGTTTTAAAAAAGTATCGATGATTTTGTAAATCAAACAAAAGCAATGATATCTTGAAAAAACTAAACCAACAAAACACTGGCATCTATTCTGTCGTCTCATTTGATTGGTTCGGTTGTGGCTTCAATTTGGAAAAGAGATCATCTCTTTTGCGGATCAATTGGTCGTATCTCTCTTGCAGTGACGACTCTCTGACGTTCTGTCTCTTCACGTCTTCGCTTAAAGACTAATCGGGAAAAAAACAAAACACAAATCAATAAAAACAATACAAAAACACACAGAAAACACCAATTCATACATCAATCCTCTTATCGATGGCCATCTCTTCGTGATCCTTAAGAATGGTAAACGTCTGCAACTCGAGTGTCGTCTGTTCCACTTGTTCCACGAGATCGTTGGTCTGTTTGGTCAACTGCGCCGCCCGTGACTGATAGCCCCCCAAAAGGATTCGCAACTTTTTCTCAATCTTCGCCGCCTTTTTCGCCTCTTTCGTCATATGAGACCGATTCTGGTCTAACCTATGGATCAGTTAAACATACATTTAATACACACACAAACAAACGCCTACCGGTGCTCAACACACATACCTTTTCTCCAATGACTCAATTCTGTCCTTTTTGTTGACGAGATTAGCTCTGGTGTACTTGTGTTGGGACGGCAGGTACAGCACTTGCGACAGAGACTCGTCCCACACCTGACAGTAACCATCGAGTGTCAGCTCCGTGTGTGCCATACCCTGCTTCACCACATCCATCTCGGTCTGGAGCACCAGTTTGGCGGCCGCCAACTGATCCTTACTGTACTTAACGTACGGGTGTTTCTCCAGAAACGTCGTTCGGATTGGATTGATTGCCACTGCGGGCCGACCGATAATTACTGGTCATCAGTTGACCGTCGGTCGGGTTGTGTACAGCGTCGTAGTGGAGCATAACCAGCATCTCTTTTTTGATGAGTTCTTCGGCCCGCTGTATGGCCGACATCTGGGGCTCAGCCGCTTGGGCGCCGGTTCTCAGTATAGAGTTGTTCACATCTGCGGGTCGGGGCAGTTGGCGCTGCACGGATTTTGGTGATCACTTGCGACACAAGACATGCATTGAGACAAACATTGCGTTCAAAAAATGTGTTTACAATTGAATGCATTGAACGCAACACAAGTCATAAATAACTTTAATAACTAAACGTTATTAATGAATACAAGTTCATTGGGTGCGAGTTTCAAATCATATGTCTAACAGTCACGTGATATTGTGCTCACAATATGCCAGTCGTTACCATAACAACGACTGGTTTGTTAGAGGGAAATATATTTTCAGGCAAATAAAATATCAGGAGAATCTGTAAGGGTGTCCAATAAAATTTGGCCGTCGGAATTTGACGATTACTCGGGAACCGCTTAGGTGACACTAGTGTTGCTTCACACATATATAGATTCATATCGGGAAAATTTTATAGCAAAAATATTTTT